TTTTTTGGTCTAAATTAATTGGCATTTAATAGGGCCAAATGAGATTGGGCCAATAAGCTTAATTTAAAAGCCTATAAAATATTTTGGTGGAAGGATAAACTTAAGCACTCGTTGGACAAGGCTCGGGATTTACAATGATAAGATCAAATAAGCCCACACATATTATAATTCTTTGTCCTTGGAAGATAAGTATGCCGCCCCTTATATAAATAAAGAGAGAAAGGCAACAAGAATAGGTTAACACAAATAGAAATATGGCAATAAGAAAAAAGAAAAATGCTTTCTTCTAAAAAGCTCGAATTGTCACATATACCTCTCTCTCTCTACAAGTTGTTGGAAAAAAAACCCGACTCATTTCTTAAAAGAATAAATTAACTACATAAAAAAATTGGAGCTAGTACACTATAATTTTTATATCTTCTCTTTTGGTCGTTTGAGTTATATGGATTATCAATATAAACCGAACACTTGGACGACATCTTTCTACAAAGATAGTTTATGTGCTTCAAGAGGTAAACACTTGCTTTAATTACTTATTCATGTATGTATGATTAGTTAATTCCATAGCTTGATCTTGAGAGCTTTAGATGGAGGAAAATTTTTATTTTATTCTGTACCTTAATAGGATGCATGATCCTTTAATTGGTATCAAAACCTCTATTGAATTTTTAATTATATGTTATGTTAATTATGATTGACTACATGAATTGATATTTTCTAATTATAAACATAGAGTTTTGGTATTTTATAAATATTTAAATTGATGTTTTTATCCAAATGAAGTAGGTGCATGCAAGGCTAACTTAGACGTTAGTGCTCATATGCGCAATAAAAAACAACCCAAACACATACTAGGCACACACATGCACCGGCCCTGTGGCAAACACGTGAGTGTGCCGGGCCACTTGTAGGTCGGGTGTGCTAGTGGGCACACCGAGCCAAAGGTCGAGCTAAGTGTGCCCATGGGCACACGCCGAGCTTGTGGCAAGGCCGATCATGCGGCGGGCACATGCCGAGCGCACATGAGCCTACTCGGCACTAGGCTAGGCATATACAAGTATACAAAACAATAGTGTCAAGTGCGTATGAATGCATCAAGCAAGAGGATAGGCACACATAAGTGTGCCAAGTCGATTAGCATAAAGCCGATGTTGAGCACTCGGTCAACTAGCATGCCAAGGCTAATGATAAGCATTGGCTTATGGTAAGCGCTAGGCCAAGTGTGCATGAGTACACCGAGCTAGTGGTCGATGTTGGCTAGTGCTAAGCATTGACCAGCTAGGCCATGGCAACTCGTGGGCCTTTTAAGCTCAAAACCCAATTGCCTAAAGTGAGTCCAAGGCTCTAAAAGTTTGAAAATTAAAATTTTAAAAAAATAATATTATTTATAAAATGACCAAAACTATAATTTTATAATTATGATTAAAATGAAATATATTTTATTTATATTTCATGTGTCAATGCGATTGAAGTATAGGTGAATGGTATGGATGAGTCGACTTAGTTTTTGAGAAAGTATGATTGTAAATTTTTGGTTAAATAGCACTTACGCATCTTACCTTCTCTATCATTCCGATATATTTCTCTTCTCATCTTACTCCTCTCGAATGTAACTCAAGGTTTCTTATTCAAAAAAAAATACAAAAGTAGAAGATCGAATATTAGAATATATGCAAAAAGAAAAAACCAAGAAGAGAAGACAATCCTAAAGAATTTGTAATAATTTTTTATTTAGATATTTGACCCATTAGTCTCATTGTGGCTCGAGGGACCGGTAGTAGAGATCTATTACCATTCGAGTGGTCTTTAAGTCATACATGAGATGATGTGATTATTATATGATTGATAGTATCATGATAAGATTAATACAATTGATACCTAGTATGCATGTTAGGATTAAAAAATGATGAGACCTACTATATTAAATCCTTTAAATTAATATCAAGTTAATTGTCTTCCAATATTATGAGGACAAAACTCTCTTAGTCATTATTGCCTCACTACGATAACTCAAGGTCATTTTCTTTTTAGAGAATTAAATCATAGGCCATGCAATGTCTCCGAACATTTAGGTCCAACTTAAGATGAATTTTTAGACTTGTTGAGATAACTCAATGCCTATCAAATTTATAGACAAAGATTGGTATTTATATAAGATATGAGATGACAAGGAGTTATCATGTCAATGAGATTAGGAATTGCATTAGATATAATTCGTAAGGAGTTACCTACCTAATCTTTCATTTATGACTTGTTGAGATAGCTCAATATTAATGCATGTTAGAGGATAGAATCCTAACCCACTAAGAAAAATAAAATAAAAATTTTTTTCGAGTCCTATATTAAAGGTTATAAAACTTGAAGAAAATAATGAAAGTGAATATAGATTTTATTTCTTAATTTACATTATTTTTTATTAATGCAGTTTAATTAACCAAGCCGTATGCTTTTCTATCCTATCGATTGCACAAGTATGATTGACAACATATCGATATAATCAATTATTGATGAAAGTAATGCCTTCAATGACATTAACTTTCTTCACTAGGAAATGAATCTAAGGATAATCCTTTAATATAAAAAGATTCTCTATACGATAGAGACACTTCTCCTAGTTAAGCCTCCTTATGATCAAGTCGAAGCTTATATAGCATAGGTTAAACATAGGGATGATGTGATCATCTCTCAAAGTATCATGCTAGAAGCTATAACATTAGAGCATATGCACCAATATGTATTGTAGCAAAGCTTAAGAGCTTATTTGAGGAGAATACTAGGTATGAGTGCTATGAGATAGCCAGGAAGCTCTTTAGAGCTAAAATGGATAAAGGATTCAACATAAAAAAATATGTCACTAAAATGATAGGCTATATCGATAGGCACGATGAGCTTCAAGTTGGAATGGATGTAGAATTTTTCATTAACCTAGTATTGCAATAATTGCCAAACAGACTTTGGACAGTTCATCATGAACTTCAATATGATGCACATGAAAAAGACTTTTAGAGAGTTGTTGTCCATACTAAGGGAAGCTCGACTCGAGATTAATAAGAAGAATAATAGTTCGTACATCTTGTTAACAAGGGAAAAAACTTGGTGAAAGGCAAGAAAAAACCTAAGCACTAAAAAAAGAAATCTTCAATCGTGCTTATTAAAGGGGTGAAAAAACCTAAGACTCGGAATAGCCTAAAGGATACGATCTATTTCATTGCAATAAGAAAGGACATTAGAATCGTAACTATAAATAGTACCTTGAAGAGGTGAAAAATAAGAGTTCTATAATCACCTCAAGTATTTATGTTATTAAAACTAATTTTTCTATTTTGAATTCCACCTCATAGATATATGATACTAAATTGAAGCTCACATTTATATAAATGGGCAGGAGCTTAGAAAGAGAAGAAAGGTGGCTTCAAAGGAAGATGGCCTACATGACAACAATGGATCAAGAGTTGGACCATTAGTTGTAAGAGTATTTAATTTGGCACTATCATGTGGGCTTATGCTTAGACTTATAACTATTATTGAATTCCTTGTATAGACTATGAATATTATTTTTATTTCTTGTTTGGAACAAGATATTTTTCATTTTATTTAAGAAAAATGATTATTCTTTTTAAAGATGAATTGTTATATGGAAATGTTTTGAACATAATAAAATTTCATATATAACATAAATACTAAAACACTCAAATGATTTAAATAATATATATTTTAGCATTGTTAACTTTCATATAAATGAGAATCACATATCTAAATTACTTATAAATGGATACCTAGAATCATTTGATTAGTCTATGAATCTTGTTTAATTGGCAAAACGACAAAAATCTCCTTTTAGTGGAAAGGAAAAAAAGCAATTGATTTAATTAGGCCTTATATAGAGATATATCGAGGCCCATGTCCATCTAAGCAAGAGATGGATATGATTATTTGATAACCTTTATGGATAATAGATCATGTTTTAGTTATGTAAATGAGACATAAATGCGAAACATGTGAAAGGTTCAAAGAATTTAGATTTAAAGTCAAGAAGCAAACTAGAAAAAGTATTACGGCATTTTAATTAGATCAAGGTGAGGGATACTAAAATAGTGAATTTTTAAATCACTTAAAAGAGAATGGGATTCTCTATTAGTGGACTCCACTTGGCGCACCATAATTGAATCATGTTTCCAAAAGGAGGAATAGGGCATTGTTAGACATGGTTCGATCCATGATGAGTAGAATCGACATCCCCATTTCATATTGGGATATACACTCCTTACTTTAATTTTTATTTTTTAATAGGATTCTAACAAAGTATGTTTTTCGGATTCCATATGAGATAAAGAAAGGAAAGAAAACAAATTTATCTTTCCTTAAGATTTAGGATTATAAAGCATATGTAAAATGGTTAGATGGAGACAAGCTAGAGTCTAAATTCAAAAAAAAAAGCTAATTTATGAGATATCCAAAAAAAATGAATATTATTTTTCCTACCACTATTCTTTAAAAGGAATTTATCGATGCTAAGAACAAGTAGAAGGAAAGTTGAACTCAATGAGATTGGAGTATATTGATAAATTGACACTTCACTAATGGAATCCTAAGTAGATAGGTTACAAACAATTATAACTATCCCACAAACTAATACATAAGAACTTCACAGGTCTAAACAAGTTTGTCAATAGTCAAAAAATATGATCTTCGTATCTAAACACATCGTGATGTGTATTTTATTTAGGATGAAAAAGTTAATACCTATGAAAAGAAAATGTTAGGCATTGACTCTTAGATATGGAAAATGGATGGCAAAATTGTTTTCTTTTATAAAATTAAATAAGGATGTGTAGATGATACACCTTGATGGTTTTGTCAAAAGACCATGTCATTCAAACATAAAATAATCATACATGCATTTAACGAGCACCAAGAAATGTTCTTGATAATGATATGCAAAAAGCAATAAAGAAAAGAAGTGCTTGGTAAGGGTAAAAGGAAACATATAATGCATTCAGAGAATATTCAAGATGTGTGGGTTCCAATCGAAGGCAAAAAGACCATTAAAAAAATTTTACACAAAGGAGTTTGAACTTGGGGACATGGCCAATCTACGGTTCGTTGAAGGCACTATTTATATGGAGTCGGAAAGTCAAAATATAAATTTAGGAATGGGAGCATTTAGAGTTTAAAAAAAATTATAACAAATGCACATAAAGTTTATAAAGGATTGATTGATATAAATCAAAAGGTGGTAGTCGAGGTAAACACACGAGGATAGTTGCATTGGATTGAACTTATAGAGAATATTGCATAAATGTATCCTAACGAGGCCTATAAAGATTAAAGATCAACAAACCAATTCACCAACAAACTCTCAAAAGGAAATACTTACTCAAAAAAAATTAGACTTGGAGTTGATGGGAGATGAAGGGGTTACGGATGGTGAAGATGTGAGGTTATGCTAGGGATCTTTATCGGATGATAACTAATAGCATCAACGACATACAAACAGAGTTACTATAAATAAAATGATGTCATTAAATCTATGTGATATGTAGAATTTTAATTTAGAAGAGATCAATCGATTCCATAAATGTTTTACCAAATTAGCTCTAAAGGTGAAGCTTTAAAAACCATCTTTTAAATGATAAACAAGGGCAACTTTGAAAACACAAATCCAATCCTCCAATCAAGTCTTCAATGATATCAGTCCTTCTTTGGAATGCTTGTGGTATAGGAAATACAACCACTTTAAATTATATTAAGACTCAAAAAATAGTATAACCAGTATTATTGTTAATTTTTAAACCAAAATTGGAAAGGAGTGGAATTGAATTTGTAGTAAGAAGGATTAAATTTCCTTTATTTCAACATCATAATTTGTATAACACTTATGTTTGGTTATTTTGGAACGATATGGTGGGCACACAAGCTATAGAGATTGGAATTCAACATGTAACGATGATGGTTAAATTCAAGAGTTGCCACAAGTTTTGTGCGCCTTTGTATAAGCTCAATGTAATAGGTTAGAAAGGCAGGATCTTTGGAATGCCTTACAACATATGTCAATTAATGCATAACATCCATGGTTAATTGGAAGAGATTTTAATGTTATATCGACCACCAAATAAAAGGTAGGAGGCACGAGTTATAATCTACGAGGCATGAAGGAATTCAATGATATAAACAAGGTGGGTTGGATAATACAAGATATACAAATAGTAGATTTACTTGGTGTAATAATCAAGCAATCTGGAATATGTATTTAGAAATGACTAGATAGAGTCTTGGTGGATGGTTGTTTTAACGTCATTTTGCCTCCTTTAAAAGTAAAATGTTTAACAAGAATTAACTCAAACCACATGTTGTTACTACTTCAATTTCAAAAGAATGAGGTAGGATATGCACTTTTTAGATTTTAGAGAATGTGGATGGATCATCCAAGTTTCATGAGCTTTGTTCGGAGGGTTTGGAGTGAGCATTTCCAAGGACTCGCTTTTTATTGTTTTACAAGAAAAGTTATAACATATAAAATAATAATTAAAGGCTTCGAATTGGAATGTTTTTAGAGACCTAACAAGGTAGGAGGAGTCCATATAGGATGACATAACAAGAATGGATAATGATTTATTACTAGCTAGAATGTGCAAACAAGAAAGACCTTCATAGTGCTAAATCTTATTTAAATCAATTGATCGGATGGGACACAAAAATGCTTTTACAAAAATTTAGGGCAAACTAGATTTTGGATCGTGAATAGAGTGCTGCATATTTTCATGCATACATTAAAGATAATGTGACGAAGAGCAAGCTCAAGTATAAAACAAGTAGATGGAAACTTAACAAAGGATATTCCTATTATAGGAAGAGCGAGTAGTTGATTCTTTTCAAACTCTTTTTACTTTAAAACCATTTATTATTCATGAAACCACTTTTTCAAGTATATAGAAAAAGATAACAACGGATTAAAATGATACTCTTACATGTATTGCATCGAGTGATGAAGTTTTTAGGGTAGTAAAGGATTTAAATCTAGACGAGTTCACTAAATAGAGATGGATTTACATGCCATTTATTTCAAAGTTGTTAGGATATCATCAAAACAAAGCTTATTTAAGGAATCTAGGATTATTTCAAAGAAGGTACAATCCTTTCGAGGCCTTTCAACCACGATACTCGATATTAATGCTAAAGATTATAAATCTTACCTCTCTAAATGATATGCAACTAATTAGTTTATCTAATTTTACATATAAGATCATTTTTAAAAAAATTATAACTTGTTTAGGGCAAGTTTTACTAGAAATTATGGCTCAAGTATAGTCTAAATTTATGAGAAGAAGAAGTATCATAGAGAATATTATGATTCCTCGGGAGATGGTCGATGAAGTGAAGAGAAGGATTAGGAGCGATAGCCTCATTTTTAAAGTAGATATGTCAAAAACATATAATCAAGTAGAATGGAAAACTATTACAAACTATGTGGGAACTTAGCTTCAATAAGACATGGTGTGCTTTGGTGCATCATTGCATTCGTAATATCCGATATACAGATCACGATAAAAAGGGTGTGGCTTTGGATTTTTCAAGGCTAGCAGAGGAGTGTTACAAAGGGATCTTCTTTCACCTCTTTTGTTCATTTGATTCAATAAGTATTTTCACATAACTTATTGAAAGCTAGTTAGAGCTGTCATATTAAATATTTTCGTGTAATATGAGTAACTAAACTTATTTCTCACTTGTTTTATGTAGATGACATGTTGTTGTTTTCATATAGAGAGAAAAGATCTTTGCTAAATTTGAGAGGATTAATTTCCAAGTATAAAGCGAGTTATCCGGACAAATTATGAACCTAACAAAGAGTGGTATTTATGCTCCTTCTGGCTCTCTAAGTCTCAGCTAGAACAAATTCAAATCTAGACTAGTTGCTCATAATTTTAATTCCTATAAAATATCTTAGAGTGCCTATTGCTATTGGATGGATTACAAAAGCTATACTTTCAAGACTTTGAATATAAGTCATCCAAGAGGATAAACATCCGAAAGTCTAAATTGTTGTCACTTAAAGCAAAAACCACACTTATAAAATCCATTCTAAACAAGCATACCATTCCATGCATTGGTTGTTGCCATGTTCCCACAAGCAACCTTATAGTGGATCGAGAAACTTGTGGCTAATTTCTTATAAAGTTCAATCAAGGAATCACATCACCACTAAATCTTTTGAGAGATAGTATGTCATCCATTGTAAGAAGGAGGCTTGGGGATCCATACTTTCAAACATGTTATGGATACTCTTCAAGCAAAATTAGCTTGGTTACATATGCAAGGAACAAGTTTATGGTTATCCTTTACAAAACAAAAATAAGAGGAATTTCCATATTTTATAAGATGGTTAGCATCTCCAATAGGACAATCAATTGCAAAACATTTTGAAGCTTTACGCAAGTAGCATATGGGTGGTGGGTTATGTAACATTCCTTTTTAGACTAATAACTAGTGTGAAGCTGAATTGCATCCACCGTTGCCTCTTATTAGAATACTCACTATATATGATGTTTTGTGGGATATAAATGATTTTATTCCATTCATCCCACTTCTATTACATGAGCAGGTGAGAAATATATAATTGGATGTAAATATAGGTGATACCCTTTCGAAGTCCGGACAGTTTGCAACGAAGGTTTATTGGGAGTTTCATGAAAACCATCACCCAACGAGTGTCATAGTCTAATAGAGTATGGTCACCTAACATACCAATAAAAGTAAGTGGATTTATATATATCAACCTATACTTGTGGATAGCAATATCAAGGCCCTCAAAATATCGATTGTTTCAATGTGTAATTGTTTCCATATTCATCGTGAGGAGTCTTATGAGCACTTGTTTCACCATTTAGAGGTTGCTAAGTAGTTATGGAGCCACTTTAGCTGAATATTTACATTAAAGGATAAGTATATTTCTTTAACAAACCTTATTCAATAAACCTTCTTCACTTGGCTATGTAGCACTAAAACTCGTGCATATATGTTTCAAGTTGCTACATGCTTCTTTATACTATGAAAAATATGAAAAAATAGATTCCAAACAAGATTTGATGATGTTCCAATGAGTGCGAACTTAGTATAAACCGTATATATTTGCATCTTTCTAATATGTGCATGGTGTATAAATTGAAAATAGAATGCAGTGTTCAAGGTAAATACAAGATTAAGCATTGTCGTTTACCTTTACTTTCGATATCTTTAGTAAATGGCTTATAGCTAAAATGGAATCCTCCCACATTTGGAACATTTAAATTTAATATAAACAAGTCAGCAAAAAATAAAATATGTACAGGAAGTGGCATCATTTGAACAAGTAGTGGTGGCATGATTGCTGGATTTTCAAATTATTATGGAGCGAAAATGAATATGTATGGCAAGATAAAGGCACTTCGAGATGGTCTTTTATTATATCTAGCATTGTCTATTACATCGGTCTTAGTAGAAATCAATTCTTTGGTGGCGTAGATATAGTCCGACATAGAGTTTCTAGACCATGATGGTATAAACAAGAACTTAGATAGTGTGAGAAACTATTGTTGACACATTCCATTAATTCGACAATGTAATAGGACAGTAAATAGACTAGCTAACCGTGCCTATGTGCATCTTGAGCATATGTAGTTCAACAGCTATGACAAACTTCTAATAGATGTTAAAAATACTTGTAGACATGATAGACTTGGTATTTATCCGTATCGAGGATAACATTGTGTTATTTTGGGGTAAGGTTTCCAAGTCCCTCCATTATGGGGTAAGGCCGCCCCCTCCCCCTCCTTCCTTTTTATTTTAATAAAATTTGTCGGGACACCATTCCTATTTGTTAAAAATAAAAATAAAAACAATGATGGTGGTGATGATTGATATGATACTAAAAATAATGATAAGAGTTATAGTAATACCAAATTTATGATTATTAGCAGACAATGGTGGTTGTAATGGGTAATAATGATATGATAATGACGGTTCGAATAACATGGTAACGTCGGAGATGGTCATAATATATTTGTGAAGGTTATGAAGACAATGTAGTCGTGCTAGTGAAGTTAATTATAATAATAGTATTGTTAAGGAGATAGTGGTGGTAAAGAAGTGAATGAAAGTTGCAATTGTGTTAACCATGATGGTGGTGGTAGTGTTAACTATCGTGATTATAATAATAAAGTGATATTGATGATTGTTGTTGTGGTATGATGCTCGTAATGTTAGAAATGTGATATCTTAAAAAATAAAAATAAAAAAGAAAAGAATTTTCAAAATCCTATTTTAATTTTTAAAGTTTGTTCATTTTGAAATGTGAAAAAATAAACATAACAAGATAACTAAATAGGGTTTTTTTTTAAAAAAAGAAAAACGTAAACCGCAATAATAACAAACATCATCCCGAATGTTGCATTCAAAGTTG